AATAATAATAATAAAAAATAAAAAATAAAAAATAATAATAATAATAATAATAATAATAATTAATAAATAACACCAATAACAAAGATTATATGTAAATGGTCATTAGAAAATTATGTTTCTTTTATACTTAATTATTTTTCTTTACCAATTTCTTTCTCGCTTCACAATAACAACATTTTTCATACACTATCATTAAACTATCTTCAAATGTAGCGACAACGCTAAGTCTATCAGTTTCTATCATTTTTTTTTTTCCTTTTTTTTCTCTCTTTCTCTCTCTTTCTCTCTCTCTCTCTCTCTCTCTCTCTCTCTCTCTCTCTCTCTCACGACAACTTTTTTCCTTCTTTTTATTTTTTWTTTTWTTTTATTTATTTTTTTATGAAAAACTTTATTTCCACATTAACTTCATCTTCATAAATTTGTCATTTTTCAATTTCATAAAGGTTATAGTTACGGATGAACTTTCCGTTTTAAGTATTTAATTGTTAATCCCACATATTTGATAAATGAAACATTTCTCGTATCGAAACTCCAGTTATTCTTGACGCGTCAATACTCTTGTAACTCTAAAACATATTATCCTATAATACAAAAATCTTTATATTTTTTTCTAAATGTAATAACAATAATAAAATTGCTAAAACAATTCAAACATTAATTTTACAATTAGTACATGGGATAATATCAAAGATTATATATAAGATAGTCATTATAACCAGGGTAACCGACGTTCAGGACGGGTCGAACGCCCGAACTTATGGGACCCGTTGGGGATGCGTTCGGCCATTGAGGCCCGAACGCGGACCAAAAAAAAAAAAAAAAAAATCATCACGAAAATCTAAAAAAAAAAAATGTTATGGAGAAAAATAAATTAAACAAGATTTGCCTAAGCATTACATCCGAATTTCTTACCAAAATTGAAGTGAAAATCAAATACGGAAAACAAATACTAATAATAAAAATATATAAAAATAAAAAGAGAATTAAATTTAGTGAGTGTGCGAGCATGTTTTCGACATCGCCATCTTTGGCGATTTTTTATATTTGTTTGACATAGCTAAATGCCCTGAAAATTTACAGATGTGTACTTCACATAACAAAAACCTCACTCAAAAAGTTTCAAAAAATAATAAAATTGTTCAGACCCCGAACTCAAGTGAAAACAAAAAGTAAAAAGTAAAACAATACGTGGGCGAGCACGTTTTATCACTGCCATCTTTGGCGACTTTTAATTCTTATTTGGCTTCGCCAAATCACTTGAAAATTTACAGGCATGTACCGCACGTCAAAGAGAACTCACAAAACAAAAATCAGAAAAATGAATTATTTTTGGGCCCCGAAATATTTTTTGGCGGGGGCCGAACGTCGTCGGGTACGGACCCCGTACGGAACCCCGAACGCCCGTACATACGGAGGTCTGCCTGTGGACCTCCGTACGTACATGCTCGTGACCCTGATTATAACATTATATATATATATTTTTGCAATCTTTTTTAAACTTTTACAATGCCAATTTATTTTTTTAACTCTCTCTCTCTCTCCATCTCTCTCTCTCTCTCTCTCTCTCTCTCTCTCTTTCTTTCTCTCTCTCTCTCTCTCTCTCTCTCTCTCTCTCTCTCTCTCTCTCTCTTTCTCTCTCTCTTTCTTTCTTACAAACATAATATTATGAAATTCCTTCATACTTGTTTTTAATATAATTTTTTAATATTTTTTTATTGTGAAACAATAGTTTTCAATCGAGCAGAAAATTGATGCAGATGTCAATAATCAAGAGCAACGGTTAGAACGAAAATGAGATAGAGAAACAACTCAACGACAAAATGAAACGACGCATTAACGATGTAATCGAATGGAAAAAGATGCCAAGCAACATAAAGAGGCACGAAAAAAGAAAAAAATGAAAGAAAAATTATTAGTTGAAATAAAAGACAATACATTATATAATTCTTTAATTTTACATCATTTACATTAAAAAAAAAAAAAAAACACTTCAAATAATAAACGAATTCGCTTAACAAACATTGCAAAAATGCAAACCAATCAACAAATAACAAATAAGATAAAAATCAATAATAAAAATAATACATCAATAATAAAACATACAAGAGTAAAAGCAATTACAAGAACAAGAACTTTACAAAATTAAAATAATCATAAACCATTTAAAAATATTGATTATGAAAAAATCAAAAGAGAAATATTAGATATCTTACAAGAAGTAATGACATTTGAAGGTTTACAATAATTAGTATGTTGTGTGTGATAAATTAGAACTTAAAAATAACATGCATAAACACACAAGTAAAGATCAAGATGTAATTGACAAAATGATAAAAAATTTAAAAATTCAGATGCTAATATTCATGAAGACATAAAACAATATTATGCATGTACTGAATTTAGTAAACAATTCATTGACATATTACTTTCAAAAAGAGACTTTCAAATAAATGGAAAAAAAAAATGAAATTAAATTTTATATTTGTGACAATTGCGAAAAATCATTACTCGATAGTAAAAAAAGTCAAAGGAGTTCGTCAAACTTTGCGATCGCTAATCAATTTTTCATAGCATAATTACCTAAATCAATTCTACAACCTACATGAACAAAATTAGTTATGACCAGGGTAACCAACGTTCGGGACGGGCTGAACGCCTGAATCCGAACACCCGAACGTATGGGACCCCTTCGGGATGCGTTCAACCGTTCGGGCCGAACGTGGACCAAAAAAAAAAAAAAAAAAAAAAAAAAAAAAAAAAAAAAAAAAAAAAAAAAAAAAAGATTTGCCTGGGCATAAAATCCAAATTCCTTGCCAAATTTGAAATAAAAATAAAATACGAAAAATAAATACTAGTAATTAAAAAAAAAAAAATAGTTAGTTCGCGAGCACGTTTTCAACACCGCCACCTTTGGCGATTTTCATTTTGGTTTGGAATAGCTAAATGCCCTGAAAATTTAGATATGTGTACTTCACATAATGCAAAACACACTAAACAAGTTTCAAAAAATAATAAAATTGTTTAGACCTCGAACTAAAGTGAAAACAAAAAGTAAAAAGTGGAAAAAAAACGTGGGCAAGCACGTTTTGACACCGCCATCTTTGACGATTTTTAATTCTTTTTTCGCTAAGCCAAATCACTTGAAAATTCATAGCCGTGTACCTCACGTCATAGAGAATTGATAAAAAAAAAATCAGAAAAAAAAGAGAAAAACGTTTAGGCCCCGAAGAAATTTTTGGTGGGGGTCGAACACCGTCAGGTTTGGACCCCGTACGGGACCCCGAACGCCCATACGTACGGAGGTCTGCCCGGGGACCTCCGTACGTACGGGCTGGTAACCCTGTTTCAGCCAAGAAAAAAAATATATAATAATAAAATTGTTTAGGTCGCAAAATAAAGTGAAAAAAAAAGTTAAAAAAAAAAAAAAAAAGTGGGTGAGCACATTTTGACACGCCCATCTTTAAAGATTTTTTTTTTTTTTCTTGGCTTAGTAAAACGACTTCGAAATTTTAAGGCATGTACCTTATCATCATTTTCATCATAGAGAACGCAAAAAAAAAAATTCAGGATTTGTTTTTTTTTTAGGTCCCGAAATAAATTTTAGCGGGGGTCGAACCCCTTTAGGTTCAGACCCCAAACGAGACTTGAACGCCTGAACGTACGGAGGTCCGTCCGGGGCCTCGGTACGTGCGGGCTGGTATCCTTGGGTTAAGTCATAATGAAAATTTTGATATAATTTATTTTAAAATTTGTTAAAGTAATATGAAATTAATATAAAAATAAAAATACAAGTAAAAAATAAAAGATGGCATGGGATGTAATTAAAAAAAAAGGAAGATAAATAAGAAAAGCGTTGAAAGCAAGTTCATTGAGTATGCGTATGACATATAAGACGTTGTGGGTTTAGTCTTGATAAACTACTTGCCACACACTTACTGTCACGCAATTGAGATAATTGATTTGCATTCCTGATCAGTATCAGTATAATTTTTAGCCAATACATATGTGAGTGTGTGCAGGATCTGCGTTGTACGTGTTGTGTGGAAAAAGTGTAGGCCTTGGATATTGCTTTTATTTTAAACCACTTGTACTTTCTAAAGTTTTGCCAGTTAACATACCATGATTTTAAAAATGTACGGGTCATTACACGAGCACCAAAATTCATCCTACTAGAAACATTTCTACTATACCTTTTTCCATGGCCCATAGCTGGGCCAAGTACTGGTGGTTTAAGGAAAGGAGGTTCAACTACTGTCAAAATGTGAAGTCTTTGTGTTAGCCGGACCCCTACTAGAGGCCCCAACTTGGTAAGGGAAAACATGCTATCCCTTCATTTCAATGTAGCTATGCCTGCAATGGGGGACCATTGCAATTCTTAGGAGTAGTATGAAGGTAGTGAAAGGTGAATTCAAAGAATTCGTTCGAAAGAAAAGCAACGAAATGAAAAAGCACTTGTGGTTCTACATTTTCTGGTTGCGTTCAAAAGTTTTCCTGAAGTTATCGAGATAGGGTTGGGAAGACACTGTCCTATAGGACATCCGTTAAAATTGGAAAGATAGAAAAAAGACTGGCACAGCGCCTGCGGGGGAAAAAAAAAGGGTTGGGAAGATGCTTATATGTCCTGTCTATAGGTAATTCCTGACTTGCTGCCCTTGGTCATAGGGGCTTACAACTTGAACTACAAAGGTGCTGGTGAGTCCCGTTGGTGGGTACTGCTGGAAATTCGGCCACTTGCCACCCACCTTTTCCTAAGGGGCCATTGAAAGGGTCGCTCCCGTGGCGTGACCAGGCTGAAAGCCTAGCGGCATCACAGCGGAGTCTGGGTAATTTGGTGTTTTGAGATAATCTTAGGGGTACTTTTGGACCTTGCGAGATCCGTGGGCAGAGGTTATATGGTGATTTCAGATGGGGCAGGGTCCTGGTAGAAGTCCTTCGCACTTCTGGCTATAGGTGGCGCGATTTCTTGAGTACCAGACGGTCTGCATGTGTACGCGGTTGGGCTCCATTGTTGGGCCTCCAGTGGCCTGTATGTTTTGCCGCGCCGCCTCTCCGCCGCAGGCCAGAAAGACCAGGAAAGAGCAGTCTATAATTTTAGTGATCTTTGATTTTTCAATCTCTTTTCCGTGTGAGTACGGCGTGTTGTCAGCGTCGAAAGCCCTCGGGTCGCTGGGCTGAGTGCATTCTATCGACCGCCATAGCCATTGCAAGCAAGCAGCCATGGCGGACTCCAAGACGTGTACTATTCGCACAAGGAAATTCATGACCAACCGGCTTCTCCAGCGGAAGCAATTCGTAAGTGTCGCGATGCTCAAATACAAAAAATATCATTATACCCTTGCTCGTCTGACTTCTCCATCTGTCCCTCTTCTTCTGGTCCATCTCTTCTTCTTGTGTCGTTCATCTACCGTTCGCTTCTTTTACCTTCCCTCTCCTCGTCTGACTCTGACGCTCTCTTTCTCTTTTTCGTACGCCTCTGTTCTATCGAAATCCTTTGGCCATAGCCTTCCTTTCCATTTTGAGACATTTCACAGCTGTGCCGCCTCGTCGTGTCTAACGTTGTTCTTATATCTCTTTCACTGTCTAACCTCTTCTTTGTCTCTTCTTTCCTCCCACCACTTTCACCCGTCTCCGCAACTTTCCCTATTGGGTCTCGTCGAGGAAGATCACGATACCCCTTGTAGAACGGTCACCAGGGGTGGGGAAGGACAAGAGGAGGACGTATGGCAAGTAGTGTACATATGGTGGCCAGAAAGCAGGTGTTGGATATGGAGAAGCAGTGGAGACAGTGAAGAGGGTGGATGGTGGATTGGGAAACCGAAAGTGGGCCTGGAGGACGGTGGAGGGCGCGGGAAGGAGGGCCGGCAAGGAGGGCCGGCTCCTTACTACAGAGGGCGGGTTGGAGGTGCTGAAGTGGGAAGGCAGCGCATCAAGGGGGCAAGATGCTCGCGGAGAGCAAAGGCCGACTTTCTGGACACTGGCGTGATTCAAGGTCATTTGCCGAGTCTTGAATCGAGACCAAAGAGTCTGGTATGGCCAAGTCTCATGCAGGAGGAGGCAGGAGGCGCTGGTAGGGCATGAGCGGGCGTGGACATAAGCAGGTAGGAAATGGCAATGTCGGGTACGGATGGAGAGCCCAGCGCGAAGTGCCAGAGGTGCGTATGGACGCGAAGGAGCGGGTTCGCAGAGAGGGAGGTGGGCATGGCGTTAGAGAAGAAATTGTGGAAGAACAGAGGCGGACGTTCACGGGGGGAGAAGAGTACTACGGCGAAGGCGGCGGCGGTGGGTTTGACGGACGAAGGCGGCCGGTGTGGACTGGGCGCCGAATAGGCGGGTGGGTGAGGTAGGAGCGGGGTTTGCAGAGGCATGATGGTGGGTGGGTAAGGTAGAGTCGGGCGATGGAAAGTTGTGGCGGTGTTTGTTGTTGGAGTGCGGAAAGTCTGGAGGTTGGCGCGGTAGCAGAGGTAGGGTTTTGTTATTAGGGGCGGGTGAATTGTGATGTGGGTCTGAAGTGAGAGAGAAGTTGCTGAGTACGGGAGAAAGCTGTTGTAGCGGATGATAATGATCTACTGACTTGTCGGACTTGTGGGGCATGGTGCACGTGGATGGAACGATTGTCCTTTTATAGATTATGTCGTCGCTCGGCGTGCGGTTGATGTGTTTATAGTGTTGACGACAGGATTGGCATGTTTTGGTCAGATATTGCCGGTAATAAGTGCTTTCTGAATTCTGCACCGGCGAACGAGCGGTGTGTTTTAGGGTTTCATGCTGTCATCGGATGGTCATATAGAAGACACCAATGCGCATGGACATCTTGAATCAGCTTTTCGTTTAACATTATATTTGTTTGGAATGCTGGATTGCGTTCTGGTTTTTGCTTGTTGTCATGAACGGGTGGCGGATACATTGAAAGCCTGTGTTGTTACAGGACACAAATTCCTATTGTTGTGTTTACAATTCGCTTAGTTGTTGACGCATTGTTTTTATTCGTTTGGACGCTATTCTCGTTGTCAAAACTTTGACGGTGACGTTCCAGGTTATCGATGTGCTGCACCCAGGGCGACCCACGGTACCGAAGGTGAGCAGATTTACCCCAGCAACTGGTTCGTGTTGTGCGATGGATTCGTGTTTTGTGTATTGGATGTCACGAGATAAGCTGATGCCTGCGCTCTGTCCTCCTTCCGTGTCACTGGGGTTCCGTTTGCATCGTACATCATTCATCATAAGGCGTACAGAGCGCCCTTTGTTTTTGAGGCAATCGCTGTCTTTCCCGGTAGTTGATCTCTCGTGTTTACCTATATGGCTTGAATGTTGTCACTGAAGTGTATAGAGTGGTAATGGCGGTAAACGAGTTATCCAACACTCCGTGGCGAACGAATTTGGTGATGGTGGCGGGAAGGTCTCCGCAGCATCGAGTCCTTAACAGTGAGGGGAAGTTTCCTGCGTCTGCGCCTAATCAAGAGCGAACGTGACGTTTTGTACAAATGGAGCCGTTTTGCTAAAATCGGTGGAGAGACGAGTACTTCCAGGTGGTGTCTGTGGAAAAGTGGAAATCTCGGCTGGGAGGAACGGGTGGGGCTGCCTTTGGGAACATTTTTGCGGGAGGATATCACAGGCGAGGAAGGACGGAAAGACATCGAGTCAGTGGGGGGTGGAATGACGAGGAGATATGTGACAGCGAGGAGAGGCTGGAGGGATGCTCACACTTGGATTTTCGTGGATATGGATTTAGGGTTAAAAACGGATATGGCTGGGTTTGTTGCTCAGCTATGGCATTCAGTGCGGTGGACGAAAATATTCGATTGAAGTCGATGCTGTCCGTTTAAGCTGGAGCTCGGACGGAAATTGCGGAATACCCGAACGGATGTGTATGGTTGGTGAACAATCGAGAAAAATGACAGCCTCGGACGGAGCGAGTGCTTGGACTGACTGAATGCCTGCAGTGGACGTACGATGCGGTACTAGAATATTCCCTCGTCCATGTAGACTACTCAGCGTGATAAGTGAAAAATTGGACGTGTTGCCGCCCACACGAGTGGTCTGTCGTTACGCCACATACATTTCTTGCTATGTTAGAGTTACACCGGGGAAGGTGACTTCACGACAGCGCGATTGATCGTTGTTCTCCCACGGGTACGGTATGAAAGAGCGGCAAAATGTGTGTGAGAGAGAGAGAGAGAGGGGGAGAGAGAGAGAGAGAGAGAGAGAGAGAGAGAGAGAGAGAGAGAAGCTTAACTTCTGAGGCGAGTTCTGCGAAGCTGGATGTGTGTGTGAAAGAGAGTTTATAATATGAGAGAGAGAGAGAGAGAGAGAGAGAGAGAGAGAGAGAGAGAGAGAGAGAGAGAGAGAGAGAGCTTGTAATGAGGCTGAACCCTATGTACGCTGAATCTTTTGTATGGTTTGTGTTGCAGGCTTGTAATGAGGCTGAGCCCTATGTACGCTGAATGTTTGCGTTGTGTTGCAGGCTGAGGTTAAAGACAAGCTTTCCCGGCTGTACGATGTGAGGGACCCGCAGTCGATTTTTGTTTTCGGATTCCGAACCCAGTTTGGTGGAGGGAAGACGACAGGCTTCGGTCTGATCTACGACAATGTGGAGTCAGCGAAGAAGTTTGAGCCCAAGTACAGATTGGTCAGGGTATGTTATCTGATCAATCTTGAGTTTGTGTTTTTGTTTGTCGATTAAGTCCACTTTGCTGTGTGTTTTGTTTGTTGACAGAGGCCCCTCTGTTGCACTTGGTGCTGATCAGTCTTCCCGCAAAGCAAGTGGGAACTGTGGTTGCGTTTAGTGTGTGCGTTGCGGTCGCTCGCGATTCTCATGGAAGTGCTGAGCTAAAATCGAAGTTCAATTGTCCTTCTCCTGAAATAATATGATGTTCTTAACCGAAGTTTACTCGTTTTAGTGCGGAAGGAGTTTTCATGTTAACCGAGACAGGAATCCAACCCTTTCTGTTTGTTATGGTGCAGAATGGTTTGGCCACGAGAGTCGAGAAGAGTCGCAAGCAAGTTAAGGAAAGGAAGAACAGGGCGAAGAAGATCCGTGGAGTGAAGAAGGTCAGTGCTTCGTGCCTAGGCACCGACCCACCGCCTTTGTCTGTCGCCGTTTTCTGGACCTGAATTTTGATTTTTTCTTTGACTCTTTTTTTTTCTACCGAAGCCCCTATTTCTGGTTCCAGAACTGCCGAAACGAAGGATAACAATTTTGGTTGGCGGTTAGCAAGTAACTATTGGTCGTTTTAGAAGCCGTTCTGGATGACTTTCGAATCTACCCTTCATACCCCTGCGATTTTGATGCGACCCTAACACGTTTTGACCTCTCGTGCGAACTTACCAAATCGCCAAATCGCACAAATTTTGTTGGCTTTCAAGAACCAGGAGCTAGTTTCTGTTGTCTGTGATCTCAAAAGGAGATCTAGTCTCACACCATCGTTGCGCACGAGCGTTAGTTGATGAAGCTACTTACGAAGAGAAGCCCGCGAGTTGACAACTGCGCCTTGCGCAAGTGGCATGTTGCTTTCTCTACCGACCCGTGCCTGAATTGAAAAACCCTTACGGCGTGCAATAATGCCGAGAGCGGTGCTCTGCTTCGAGCGACTTTGCGGTTTCAGCAGGACGAAATAATTGTTGACCTCGATGCTTAGTAGCTGGTTATTAATCCGAAGGTAGGACTTATGGAAAAGGTCAACAATTGTTCCGAAACAGAGTACCGCATGACGATCAGGGTAGGATTTATGAAAAGAGTTGGGGGTTGTAATGATAATAACCAGAGTATGTGGATTGGTAACGAACGAAGGATGATTTGATGTGTAAAACGACGAAGTCTTCAATGGACAGAGTCTGCATCCGCCCTGTGTGTCAATGCGATCGTGACGAGGACTTTGGAAAACGTTTTTGTTGGTGAGAATCCTAGTACGTCGTAAGTTTCGTACCCAACTTTCCAAGGTGACGAGTTACGAAGAGGAACGATTTAAACTCTCGCTCTAAGCTCTCCGTTCTGGAATGGACTACATTGATAACCCTAATAGTTCCTTACCAACTTACCAGCTTACCGAGTTACCAACTCACCGAGTTACCGACTTACTAACTTACCGAGTTACCAACTTGCCGAGTTACCAACTTACCGAGTTACCGACTTACCGAGTTACAAACTTACCGAGTTACCAACTTACCGAGTTACCAAATTACCGATTTACGAACACGAACGAATCAAACTCACCCTAAGCTCTCCGTATCTGGAATGGACTAACGGAAAGAATCAGGGGTTGAAGCTGTAGTGCAGTCTCTTGCTGTCTTTGTTATTCGTTGTCATTAAAAAATTGGCTTTGTTCACTTGTTATGGTAACGAGTACTAGGAATCTTGCTCTCGGATCTAATCGGCTTAGCTTTTCTTAGGTTGTAGAGCTAGCTTTAGGGTTTTGAGGTTGAGATGTCACTCTATTTCTCGCCCGATTTGAGCTTCTGCAAGCTGGCCTCGGCGGTGACAACTTCTACTAGTATGTCCCGCAATCACTATTGCGAAAATGTGGAAGCGCTCCTCCTCCCACCACGCGTTCAGAACAGCCACGTATCTTTTTTTTTTTTTTTTTACGAAATTTTCCATGTCCTAGCAAAAGATTCTTTTCCATTTCGCACATTTTGGTGATTGGTTGAGCGAGGGTGGAAGTTTCCGTAAACGATCCACGATACAAAGAGAATTGATTGTATGCAGCGTGACGATCGTATCCTGTAGGGTTTCGTCAGCTCTGCTCTTTCGTCTCTTGTGTAGAACATGCGAAGTTGGTGTACATACGAAGAAGGTTTTGCAGATTTCGGCCTCCTGATGAGTCCGTGAATTTCCGACGGAACAGCTTGACACAACCCCTCCATCTTTATTGATCTCTTCTCCCTCAACGAAGTTGGTGTATCATCCGCCGGAAGGCTTGCCCGTAATATGTTTCGCCGTTTGCTGTTGTGCGAGGTCGTTCGCCGAGGCAGGAGTAAGCTGTTGGCCGTAAATTTTGTCTATGGCTCTTTGATAAGTTTGTGTGCCGAGGCGGGAATATGTTCGAAGCGGGTATGCTTACGGCGGGAACTCTTGTCGATGATGTGTCAAGTATTGCTGATTGCTTGCGGAATTCACCCCATCAGGGCCTACCTGGTTTGGCAAAGAAACTTCAGTATAGTTTACGCGTCCCCCCCTCTCCCCCCCCCCCCCCCACCGGCTTCTCTGCA